CACTGATATCCTTTACAAAAGAGTTCGGTTAAACAATGTAAGATGAAATTGAATTAATATCGGAAAATGATGACCAAATGTGCAGATGACTTTTTCGAGAAGTTTAGTTGTAAAAGAGGGAACAGGTACTGGAAAAGTAAGAGCAATGAGACATAAATTGCAGATACCAGGCAAGACTTAGAGCAATTCATCTTCGTGAGATACGGGTGGAGATTATGCCTTGTGCTGCCTTGCTGAGTGCAGAAAATGAAAAGGTTCAAGCAGAGGGGAAAAGGTTCAACTGGAGGATAAGAAGTAGTGTACAGAGATGCATCCTTTCCTCAATTTCCACAAGTAGATCTGGCTTTTTAGAGGTTGCTCATAATCTAAGTTTTATTTTATTTTATTTTACTTTATTTTATTTTTTTGAGATGGAGTTTCGTTCTTGTTGCCCAGACTAGAGTGCAATGGCACAATCTTGGTTCACTGTAACCTCCACCACCTGGGTTCAAGTGATTCTCCATCCTCAGCCTCCCACGTAGCTGGGATTACAGGCATGCACCACCATGCCAGGCTAATTTTGATTTTTAGTAGAGACGGGGTTTCACCATGTTGATCAGGCTGGTCTTGAACTCCTGACCTCAGTTGATCGACTCACCTCGGTCTCCCAAAGTGCTGGGATTACAGGTGTTAGCCACCACACCCAGCCATAACCAAGTTTTAAATGAATATTGTTCCAATTAGGAGATGTTGTTTCAAGTTTGCCATTCTCATGGAAACCCCGCACTAGATTTCTATGCCATGACTCATAATAGGAAGGACTTGTCCCTATTAGTCCTCTAAAGCCCTGTGGCAACTATGGGCATCTAAAGGCTGTTGCTAGGAGTCCCATAGCACACACTAAAATTTAAAGGATGACACTTTTTGCAACCTAGTAGTTTTCCAGGTATTGGCATGATAACATGGAATTTCAAGAATTTTTACTTAGAAAGCGTTATAGTACATTCATTTGGTATCCTTTAAAATTTAGATATTACTACTACCTACTGGGTACAATGAACACTATTTGGGTGATGGGTGCGCTGAAAGCCCAGACTTTACCACTATGCAACATATTGACGTATCACTACTGTACTCATACCCTCCAAATCTATAAAAATAAAAAAAAGGAAAAGCATATAAAAGATAAAAGTTATTTGAATAATCTGTATAAGTTTTTTTTCATCAAGGGTGTTAGATACACATCAAATAGATCACATAAACACAGTAATTGGCTATAGATTATGCTTAGAGGGTGAAACAAAGATATCAGATCTCATTCTACACAGAAAAAGACAGGAAAGCGAAAACAAAACACATTGTGGACAGCAGCCAGGGATGTGAGCAGAAATAAGTCGGTAGTATTTCTTTGTTCATGGTCACATACGTAAGAGTCACATATTTATGCCAATAAAATTCGATGTACTTAATATCTACCTTTTTTAACGTAAAGGAAGTGAATAAAAAATGATCTTAACTGAGGAAGAAAAAGGATCAAGGATTAAACACATACCTGTATCCCCATCCATCCATTTTCCTCTTCAGACTACTTGTACCATTATTTTCAAATCTTTGTATGGGTATTTTAGGAAATACTTTTCTTCCCCCCTGGAAATAGTAAAGTGTCTGAGCTCCAGAGGGTGGTTAAAGAAAATTGATAAATAACGACTGCTGAATAATAGAACAAGGAATGTTGTGAAACATTTCCTTTTCATCACATAATCAATGAGCTTCCAAGTCAAAAGCTTTGCATTTCAGAAATACTATAGTTGGAGACAATTTGTTTTAGACACAGAAAGAAAACACTAGCTAGTAACAGCTATCCACTTAGGAGACAAAATACTTTTTCTTTATAAGAGCTGCCTTGCTCAAACAATATTAGTATTAGTGAGACTTTACCAACAGATAAAACCTAGAAAGAATAACTTAGCATTTTTGTCGAAGATATAAACACTACCAACTTACTCCTGCTTCTGTCATTTTTGAAGGATGGAATAAAATATTGGAAACAAAAACAAGACTGCCTTTTTTTTTTTTTTTAGAGGGAGTCTTGCTCTGTCCCCAGGCTGGAGTGCACTGGTGCGATCTCGGTTCACCGCAACCTCCGCCTCCCGGGTTCAATCAATTCTCCTGCCTCGGCCTCCCAAGTAGCTGGGATTAGAGGCACCCACCACTGCACCCAGCTACTTCTTTCTGTATTTTTAGCAGAGATGGGGTTTTGCCGTATTGTCCAGTCTGGTCTCAAACTCCTGACCTTATGATCCGCCCACCTTGGCCTCCCAAAGTGCTGGATTACAGGAGTGAGTCACCATGCCCAGCTGTAAAACTGTTTTTTAAAACTACAGAAATAAATATATGTTGATATTTGGTATTATCTAAGATGATAAAACATCTTGTTTTAACAATATGTACAATATTTCACAATAAAGAAAGAAGGATTGTGTAGGAAGGCATTTCCATTTCATACTCTTTTTCTCTTTTTTTCTTTTTTACTGTTTTGTGTCCAGAGTGTAATTTATTTTAATTGGAGGAACAGATCACGTAATATTCTGTATTTAACCTTAACTCTATTCCCTTGCCCCAGTTAAGTAGAACCAGAAAAAACTGAAACGCAGCAGTAAGAAATTTCAAGCTTCACAGCCTGCTGAAAAAGGCAAAGGCCAAAGAAAATTGTGATCTTTTGTGGAGGGAGAGACAAAGAACAGCTGAAGGGAGGTGGCTGCATCAGTTGGCTATGACTAGGAATGTCTCGGAGCCACATAAGTGCCAGTCCTGACATGGCTGAGAGCGTAACTGTAATCAGCAGGAGACACAAACACACACATTTTTTTTCTTTCTCTCCCCCTTTTGTTAGTTACCTTTTGAATATGTTCTGACTGCATCCTCAGGAAGAAGAGAAAACAGATACTGATGAGCACTAATTGTCTCCACCATGCCTACTTTAAACATCTGATTTGGCAAGAATTTACCCCAGTCTCTGATATTTCTTTATGTCTCAATATAGTGTCTCCCACACTTTATTGTAGTACTTTTACATATACTTCTGTTCCACTTGCCCTAATTAAAATATATTATAATTGAAAGGAGTGGGATGTTGAATGGTACTCAGGGCCAAGGATGGAATTCCATAGACAGCAACACATTTTATCTCAGTAACTAGCTTAATTTAATGTTCTTTCATAAAACGTCTTTTCCTAATAACCCATAGAAACTTCCTAAAGACTTGCTAAGCAGGGAAGTGTGATTACACAACTGCGGTTACAAGTATCTCAATGCCACTCAACTCACCAAACCCCTAAAAATGAAGAACTTAGAAAAACTTTGCTTTGTGTTTAGATCATCTCTATACTTTTCCATTTTGAAGCATTTTCTCCAAACCCAATCCAGCTTCATGCCCAGATAATGTATGCCCTTATTTTGCTCTCTGGGCTTTCTTATATCATCATCCAGCCTGGTTCTCCCCTCTTTGACCAGCATACCAGATATTTCCAAACTCACTTCCTCAGTGACTGCTTAACTATTTTATCCATTATCTCCTCAAAAGCTGTCCGATCCTCGGTTATACTTAGTCAATGTGATATTAATCTTTGTCACTGCGTACTAATACACAAGACCTGTCAAATATTGGAAGTATTGCTTTAGTGAGAAAAATTTCATAAGTCAAACATAAGAAAGTCAGATGAATTTCCTTATGAGAACAGGAGCTTTAAGCTAAATGGGGTACAACATTTTAATAGAGAAGATCTTTGTTTCCATGATAAGATTGTAAATGACTATACAAATTACCTAACCAAATTACATCTCCTAATATAAGCACTGAAATTACTGACAGGTTTAGGTTTTAGAAGACATAATGGTGGACAGCAAGGTGAAGATAGTGACTTATTGGTTAAAACATAATTGTTAAAGTAAGTTCCTGGCCATTATATTTTGTTATTAATAAATTAAAAGAAATGACTGGTTAATGTGAAAACTTTAATAGAATATGGATATATTCTGTTGAGTTACAAAAATATATTTTGCCTAACTTACTTAATTAAAAGAATTTGACATTACAGTTTTTTTTGGACACAAAAGTATGACACTACCACCAAAACAAGGAAAAGTATGTTTGTTTTCATTCTAGCCTCAGAAGCAAAGAGAAGGTTTCATCTACTGCCTTATTTATGTAAATAATGAGATTCTAAAATAAACAGAAAATCATCAGGCTCCACATTAACAGAATGCCTTCAAGCAAGAAAGCATGACAGCTGTATATGCTTTAAACTTTGGGAAACACAAATGCAGAATGAGGAAACTAAAACCAGTCAAACAATGAGGTTCTACACTTAACTCCCAAAAGTGTTTTTTGAAAAGTCATTGTTTCCCATCTGGAGCTCAGTTTATTGGCTGGTTGGTTGGTTTTCACTGTCTGGAAGTTAAGGAAGTTTGTCCTTTCCATCTCTAAAATATCATACTTACGAGGAGGGTAAATATTACTTAATTAGCATAACGGATGGCAAAAATATAACAGTAAATAAAGTATACTTTTCTATAATTTCCTCTCAAAAAACAGCTTAATCTTCCTTTATAATACATACAGGGATACATCAGTGACACTCATTTTTCACATAATTCTAAGGCAACCAGACAGAGATGAAAGAGAAATTTCAGTACCGTATTTTCCACCCTCCTGAAATTCAGGAAAGGTCTGCTTTCAGAAACAACACCATTTAACGTATGTCACGCACCTGGAATAGTCACACAATCCCAATAGCAGCAAGAATGATTCACTAAGGACAGAGGCAGGGCACTGACGATTTGTTAACTTTCACTGAGACCTTTGTGTGAGTGAAGAAATCTTGTTAAATTTCATGCCCTGAACTTCGTCTGTATGTAGGATGATATTTTTGAATTTCCCCCGAGAATAATAATTGTAACCTTTCATCAAGAGTGGGTTTGTTCTCAGCAGAGGTAACAGCCCACCCCAGCAACCCACTCACCGCAGGGAATAAAACTACCATTGTCCTGTGGAGAAGCCGGCAATGTGAACACCAGAGGACTGCACCTGTTTGTTCACTGTTATCAAATGCCAGCCTGGGGGCTACCCCTACTGAGAGGGCTCTGACTTCTTAAACCACGGAGTAACATAAACTCTTCTGTAGAAATCTTTTGTGTGCAAACAGAAGTTTAACAGCAGGCTTTCTTCCTGGGAGGAAGAAAGAGTACGCCTTTTACCATCAGACCTTCAAGTTATATTCATTCTTTGCAAGCTCCGTATTATGAATAAAATTACACTAAGCTTCCCATGAGTGTCCAGCTTTAGTTTAAGAGGAAGCAATGAAAGACTCATGAAACGAAAACGATATGAATATAGCATCAAAACTATGTCTGTCTTGTGAAGAAGTAATTACTTGAGTCACTTATAGAAAGTTGAAGTGTTCTTGTCAGGTTTAAAATTTCAAGTTAGCTTTCCATGGCATATTGAAAAGACAGTTTTGCCGAAAACTTTGTCCTAATCTTCAGCTCCAAAAACAATGAGCTAGGTGTAAGTTTAGGGTGACACAAAGCCTAGTTTCAACCTTTAATGAGATGTGAAGAGTTCAAGGGAGTGGGCTATTTTAATTATTTCCGTTTGGTAGGAAAATATATATGTCTCCTAATAATTTTAAATAATTAAATACACATACCCATACCAATAAGCAAGTGAAAATAAACCTTCATGGGTACATATAATAGCTCTTCACTTCAGTGCCATCTTTTCTTTATCCTGCCCTCAGTACCGTTTGTGATCTCAAATTCTGGGTATGCAATTTCACAAATCCTAACTGTTGACTGTGGCAGGTGTCTCTACAGATACAAACATAGAACTTGAATGTCTATCTTTGGGATGTGTGTGTGTGTGTGTGTGTGTGTGAGAGAGAGAGAGAGAGAGAGAATATGATTGCATAGTTCATTTGTAATTACTCTTTTACTCTTTCTCTTGGCAGGATGTTTCAAAGGAGATCTGTATGTTTTAAAACATAAAAAATAAAAAAGTAATAAAAAGAAAAGAAAACCAAAAGGGTTTCTTGCAAGACAGACCCTAGAGCAGTTTGAAAACATCAAATAAAACCCCTCCAGCATGTTCTCCCCATGTGATGCCTTTGTATATTCACTTCAGCCTGTGGGCACATTTCCCATGACACACACAATGTTTCAGTGCCATGTTGATAGATATAAACACATATGGATTACTCATTTGCCATTCTGTCTATTGAGTTCCATACTGTTTTCTGTAAAATTAATTTTATATAAAAATAAATTATTGGGAGCCAAATATCGTTTGTGACCATGCATAGAAAAACAGAATTATATCAAGTTGAGTACATTTCTCTTTGGATGTGTCAGTGACACACAGTGTGCATGGCTATGCATAATAGTTAGATATTATACTCATATAGACATATAAATTCATACGTGTATGTGTCTATACTTATGCATCTATACACATGTACATATAAATATATGTATATATAGAAAAGTAACATGTATAGACACATATCCTCTTTTTCTGTTATATATTTATCAGCTATTTTGCTATATCTCTCTTTGGTCTTTTTATTTGCCTTTTGCTCGGTTCTAGGTACATGTCAATATTTATTTTTCTTTAAGAAACATTGAAATAGGTATGACCTGTTGACATGTATGGATTTATTATTACAATTATTTCATAGAAAACAGATTTTATGTTGTTTTTTAAACATAGTTATGCTTTAAAAAATAAAATAAACTGATGGAATAATGTTTTATAAACAACTTTTCTCTAAGTCACCAAATTTAAGAACTTGAAACAAGGATATAGACGTAATTGTTAAATATACTTTCATAACCAGCAATAAAGGGAGACATATGGTCATTATTTGCTTTCTGTTAGAAAATCCACGGTCTTGTATACAAGCATATGAAAACCATTTAAAAACTGTTACAGTGGTTCTAAGCAATGAGAGAGTTTAAGCTGTCAATTGCCTTATGTATGGAGTAAAAGAATACAAACAAATATGAAATAAGTCTAAACACTTGTGAAATGCTACTAAGATATCATTCCTAAGTTTTCATGTTTGGAGTAAAGATTCTAATTTTAGAATGCAACCCCCAAGCATCCTGTGGTTACTGAGTCTGCAAACCAAGTCTACTCTGCAGGTGTCTCACATCTCCACTGTTTTGACGACACTTGCTTCACTTCTTTTTTACACACTGACAGAGAGATCCAGTCGTGTTATAGCAATTGAGCTACTGAAAACACTATCAGCGATAGCCTGCCCTTTCTTTAGAAGTTCAAGTTTTCAAGCAAACAGTAAGTGGGTATTTTAATTGTTTTTAAAAGTCCCAGAAAATACCTAATAAATTAGATCTTAGCCAATTAAAATAAGTCATCAAAATATTCTTAATGCAAGTTCATCAAGTAAGAGGGGTAAAAAATATATTTGGTACTGTTTCTGCTTATTTAGAACTAATAATGGAATATCTAGGCATTCAGATCCCATTTTATTGTGAAATGCGGGCTTAAAAGGGAGCAATGATTAATGAGTTTCAAATACAGTATAAAAGTAATCTCTGGCGAAACAAATTCTTAGCTGAATTGGTAGCTCTACTCAGCAGGGACATTTGAATAATTGCAGAGGAACTAAGAAATTAAGAAATGAACAATGAATAGGATTTTCTTGGCACCACTAGGAAGTCTTGTGTTAAAGGCTTGGCACCAGTGTTACGCCTTGGCTTAAACTCAATATTTAAAATCAAGTAAATTGGTTGTGTTGCCCAGTTCATGTTCCTTTTTTCCCTCCCCAAAAGTCATCAAAAGTTTTTGTTGTCTTTGTTTTGCTATTCTTGAGCCTTACCAGGAAAGCAAAATAATGTATTTTAAAAAATGAATCTATCTTTAATGACACATAGCTAAGTATAAATACGTTTCGTTACTATTATTATAGCAGGTTGTTATCTCTATGCCAGAAAATAAATACACAAAGAACAATTAAACCCTAATAGAGGTCCCTAGATATGCATATAGAGTTGCATTTTTTAATTAAATGCGTGAACTTCAGTTCCCAAGTGCTCAGAAAGCAAAACTACAGCACCGTTCTCTGCTGAATTAGAAGGGGTAATGTCATGTCCTCACTTGTTCTAAGGAGAAAACTTGAGCACTAAGAAAATGTGACTCACATTTTGCCTTAGAACTTTCCAAGAGGATAGGTAGCAGGTAGGTATTATCAAATAATAAAAGGAAAGAAAAAAATACTCAGAAAATTATTCTTTCATAATTGAAAACTCAAGTGCAAGAGGTATTAGGTGATTTATCTAAGGTATAAGTGGAATGAGAATATGAAATCTTCTGGTTGCTAGTGAGCCTAGACTACTAAAATCAACCATATCTGTCAACAAAGAACCAATAAAGAACACGTTTTATATAGATGTGGCAAGGATTAACCAATAAATTAATATTCATAAATATTGTTACTCTATTGAGAACTGCATAAGAAAGGTAGATGCAAGAAGGGAACTAACATATACTGTGTTCTAAACACTATGCCAGGAAGTTTGCATATATTGTTTGCATTTAATTCTCATTTTCAGATGAAAACTGAGGCACAGCACATAAGTGATTGTGACTGTCCTTTCTTGCAGTGCTAGTATTGAGTTTCAAATTATCAGGTTTCAAAACCAGACTTTTTTTTACAACTTCACGTTGCTAGGGCTAGAAGAGAATATCTTGAAAATATTATTTTTATAATCTAGAAATATGCCTTCTCATCTAGAACACATAGGCTGGGTTTGAATTCAAATAATAAATCAAAATTCTCAGGCAAAATTTGTATTTCTGCATTCATAATCTTTCAAGCATTTTATCTCTGAGCTCTGCTTTTATCACTTTGCCTTTCCAAAACCATTTCTGACTTTATGCATAAGTCTTAGAGTGTTTTTTGGATACAAGAGCTACTTAATTCTCTGATTGTTTTACATTTGTTCATGGCAAAGTTCTAATCAGACAACCATAAATGACAATAATCAGAGTACAAAATTTGTATACACTTATGGATTGTCAACTGTTTGCCCTTTGTATCTCAATTATTTTATTATTTTTTTCCATAGGACATTCCCTATTTCACAAGCTAGTTGATTTAAATGTCATTTGAAATTATAATTAGAAATATTTTAGAAAGAAAACCATTTGAGGGGGGAGTGTCCATCATTCTATGTTTATCTATTTAGAAACGTACTCATGGCTTAGAAGACCCCATTTCTGTTAATTTGATAATTATATATTACTGCTGATTTCCTCTTCAAAAATATAAAATTTTGTAATTCCAAAGGAATTACAATTTCTTTGGCATTGAATATTTCTTACTAAGTCATAGTTTAATGGATTAAAATGTAAATGAACTTTAAAGTTACACTAAATCTCTCCCTGATTTAAGTTTAAATTAGACATTAAAATTAACATGAAAATGGCTCTATAAACACTATTGTTGTACATATTTTTTCATTATTTTATATTTAATAATGAACCAAAAGTAACAGAAGTCACTGTGCATAGTAATAGTATTAAATACACAAAACAATTGAATAGTCACTTAAATTATGCACTGGTGATCTTCAATAAAATCACAAAGGAGTTGATAACCTACACCGTGACCTCTGATGTATTTATTTTGCACAAGTGATAGTTAGGTTCTCGTAATTTTTAAGAGGTGCTTGAGCCAAGACACTAATTCTTGATTCACCTCTTTTCCCTGAGCACCAAAGGACTGCATTTGAAGCATGATACAATTTTAATTACAAAGATTTATCATTATGACATGTAATTTCTACATACATGAAATGACAGTGTAATGCATAGATGTGAAGTTCAGCTACACATTCACTATGTGAACAATGATATCAATGACACAGGCTGCCTCCTTTCATTCCATATTTCTACCTGTGCTTTATAAAAGACATATCTATAGGTATGTTAAGTGCTGCTTCATTATCTTCTCCATCCTTTCCTTGCAAAACATACTGCCCAGTACTCTTTGAACAAGACTATGAAATTCGTATCAAATTTGATAATCTATTGTAGATATTTGATGACTTTAGATTACAGTTTGGTCACATATGAATTATGGCATCTATATTGTTTATTTTCTTCCCACTGATCAATGAAAATGTGTGCCTAAACATATATAGATTGGCATATATTTTCTTTAAATCTTTGTTACATTCCTCTTTCTAGTATCTTGAATCAAATTATATTTTTAGGATAATATAGCTGAAAAAGGACTCGACTAAGAGTAGGGCAAGAAAAACCCTCATCTTTAGTAAATTATTTATTCTCTCTGGGACTCAGTTTCAAAATGAGAGAGGGGTTAGACAATCTCTAAATTCTCTCAATATTACAGTCTATGATCCTCTTCAACTTTGCTTTTATAGAATAGATTAAGAGATTTTTATTGCTCTTTATTTCCAAATGTGTGCTAAATTTAAGTGTAGTGTGTAAGTCTCAAATATACATGTTTTAATAAATAAAATGTGAGCTCAAAATAAAATAACATAAAATGTGTTTATCTTAAGGCCATATACAAATTCTGGAAATAATTAGTTAGAGGGTTTCTAAACCTAAAAGGATTTACATGCATTTCAATAATTTTAAAGTTTCCTCCATCTTTTTATCAAAAGTAACCCCGAATATGTTACGATTCTTCACAAAGGGAATTGAGTCTAATAATTATTAAAACTAAAATACATATTTTATAAAACACTGCTGTAAATATTTGCAAAACCAAATGTAGTTTAGGGAGGCAAAAATCACTTATTGTAGCTATAGAAGAAAGGAAGTCATAAATATTTTATTTAAAATATTTAGATCAACTTAGCCTATCCATTTATATGTGGACATATCAAAATGGTATATATTTTCACCAGTTGCCAAATAGGGAATAACTTTAGTTAGTATTCTGGTCCTTAAATAAAAAATTTCAAAAAGTGGAGTGGCTATAATGTATGAATAAAATTAACTAAAAAATCACTGTTCTAGTATCTCCCCTTAATAAGATAAAATATGATTTTCATGAAATCAGTAGAGTCATCTCATAGACTTGAGATCTTTTTCAAGCCTGCCATTTTTCTCACATTGATTTTCCTTCCTTCCACCTCATCCACAAAAAATTCTCTAAAAAATAAAAACTAGAGTAATATGATTTATAGAAGACATTACCCCATGAGCAACAAAACAAAACACACTTCAAATATAACTAATTGTCTTTTTTTGTCTTCTAGTGTTAATAAAGAAAAGGCCATGAAGTCAGCGGGCCCAATTAGGGCATTTCAGTCCATTCTGTTATCACACTTTATTATTTTAGTTTCCTGTGTCTGTAGAAATAAGCTTAAGTAGTCTGATAACATACTTTTCAATATAAGAAATAATTTAATCAAATTCCACAATCTGTATCTCTTTTAAAATCGTTTCATTTCTTAAGTAAAAAATCTACACTAAGCAAAGTCTCATTCAGCTAAAAACAAACAAACAAACAAAGAAACAAACAAAACCTGCCTTGAAGAGGTGACACCTGGACCACATGAATAATTTTATGCATCCCCTACTCATTCACACATAGCAGAGGATAATAAAAGTTCAGTGTCATGTGATTCCCTTTCTTCTCAGAATCTTTATAGCATTGTGATAAAAAGAAAATCAGCAATTATGCTGCCTGGCTTCAAATGTGAACTCTATAAATTACTGTATGCCCTCCTTGGGGAATATTACTTAATATTTTTTAAGTCCAGTTTATTTATCTTCAAAATAGAAATAGTAATAGTAACCTATTGTGATGGTTAACTTTAGATGTCACCTTGACTAGATTAGGAAATACCCAGAAACCTGGTAAAGCTTTATTTTAGAGGGTGCCTATGAAGATGTTTCAGAAGAGATGAGCATGTGAGTATGAGTAGAGTAAGTAGGGAAGATATGCTCTCAACGCAGGTGGGCAACAGCCAATCTTCTGGGCACCCAGAGGAACAAAAACAGAGGGAAGGTGAATACTTGATCTGAAGCCAGTACACACTCTTTCTCTCTTGTGGGACCCCAATTTCAGGCTCCCTGGTCTTTGGACTGCAGGACTTGGAACAGTGGCTCCCTGCACCCTAAGACCTTTGGTCTCAGACTGAGAGGTACACCATAGCTTCTCTGGTTCTGAGGCCTTCAAACTTGGAATGAGCCAGGTCACCAGCATCCCAGGGTCTCCAGCTTATAGGCAGCCTGTTGTAGAACTTCTCAGCCTCCATAATTGCAGCAGCCAATTTTCCTAATGAATCCTCTCTCAAATATCTATTATCATTGTCTATATCTATATCCTTTTTGTCTTTCTGGAGACCCCTAACTAACACACCTACTAATTGTGGTTATTGCAAGAATGAAGAGAGAGAATATTTGCAAACCACTTCTACATAGTAAATACTTACTAATTATGGATGTTATTATTGTTATTATTGACAATAGTATTTCTGCCCTGGGCTGTATTATGCCATAAAGATACTTTGCTTTCTACATTTATTATCCTAAAAAAAAGGCAAGTCATTAAAACCAAAGGCACAAAGCCTAAACGAATTCTAGTTATATGAATAATTTTTAAAAACTAGTAGAATTTATTATTGTGTTCTTATTTGTACACCACCAGATATGTAATCCTACCCAGTATCATCCCATTGAACATTAAAGCAGAAAGTTCAGAGAATTTAGGGCCCCATCAAAATCAAAATGACATACTTATTTACCAGAATATTTGCCAGAATATTCTGAGACTGCCACTTAAAAAAAAGACCAAATTAAAATTTGAAGTCCTTATATTTCATAGTAAATTGAAAATCAAAAATACCCTTTTGATATCAGCTTTTTTCAACATTACTAATAATACAAAAATCAAACCTTTAATTTTCACCACAGAGAAAATGAAATTGAGTAAATTAAATGGTCTTAGACGGAAAAAACAAGTTATGGATCCCCATTTTTCACTTTTTTCATACAAATATCTTTCAAAATTTTTACAGTCATTGTGATTCAATAACCTAAATAATTTTACATGGCTTACAATAAAATTATAGCTAGAAGATATAAAATATGTTATACAGATGGATAATAAAATATTAAGGAAGAGGGAAAATAGTATGACAGCTAGAATAACTTGTACTTCAGGTAGACTGTTAAAGAAGACAGAACCTCTTTCCATGCTGATGTATAATAACAATCTTCAGATCTATTTGACATATTAATATGAGAACAAAGTTTAAGAAAAACTCCCTAAATAAGTATTTTTCTACCTTTACACTATATTTCCATCTCTTTTTCCAGTAGAAGTGATAAATCAGCTAGATCTCAAAGGAAAACAAAAATAATAATTAAAGTTTCCTGGTTAGTAACATTTATTATGCCAAAAAGTGTTGGGCCATGCAAATTCTCATTTATCTACTTCCTGATAAATACAGATAAATGGAGAATTCTATTCATCATTTACGAAACATTGACCATTTTTCTTGTAATCTATTTTATATACTTCCACAGTACGCGGTTTCACCATTACAATAGCTATGCTATAATTCTAGGAAAATAATACGAGGTATATTTAACTTCTAGCCTATTTGAATGTTACTATGTTGTATTAATTCTAAAACACATACATTTTTGGATCTAATATCTTTAATATCCTGATTCCTTGTACAATCTTTTACATTTATGTTGGTGCTTTTACTTTTTCTCTTTTTAGAAAGTGTGGACTACAAACAACAACAACAATTTTTTTCCTACAATTGATGACTTAAATTTGTTGAAGTATGGCAGATAGCTATTTGAGAAAACATTTTATAAAAGGACTTTTTGTGTTACCTTGTTATTAAATAAATGCTATATTTAAAAAAAAAAAAAAACTTTTAACATGATCTAGAGAGTCCTAAAGATAATAGGCAGTGTCTATTCCAGAAATAATTCTTAACAGATTTTTCAGAATACTAATAATAATCTTCTATTAACATTTACGTCTTTCAGTGAAACCATTACAGAGACAGACTTTGTCTATTAGTCCGTTCTCACGTTGTTGCAAACATACCACCCATGATGGGGTTATTTATAAAGATAAGAGATTTAATTGACTCACAGCTCAGCATGGCTGGGGAGGCCTCAGGAAACTCACAATCATGGGAGAAGGGGAAGCAAACACATCCTTTTTCACAGGCCAGTAGGAAGGAGAATGAATGAGGGCCCAGAGAAGGGGAAAGCCCCTTATAAAACCATCAGATCTTGTGAGAACTAACTCAGTATCATGAGAACAGGAAGGGGAAAACCAACCCCATGATTCAATTATCTCCACCTGGTCCCTCCTATGACACATGAGGATTATGGGAACTATAATTCAAGATGAGATTTGGGTGGGAACACAGCCAAACCATATATCTTTGAGATCTATTTCTAATTTAAATAGATACTTACACTGTGGAAACTAAAGGTAAAAGTAAAAAAATTCATTTTTAAAGTGTCATTTTTCTGACCAATGGAAAACGCAAGTCACAGCAGCTTAAAACATATTTAGAAGCAATGCATGCCATCCAGAACTCTGCTGACTCAAATACAAAATATAGTTAGGTCCCAAATCATAAATGACACGTTCTGCATTCTACAATTTGATGATATAAGCCTAACATGCTTTCAATAATTATAAAAATACACTGTGTCTATTTTTTTTAACCAAAATCAAGCTTCTCCTAAAAAATAATAAATCATATTTATTTCCAGAACTGCATGTAATGTTCAATATGCACTTCATAATTTAACTTTTATAATCATCTTACAACTGAGCGTTCTCGTTATGTTCATTTGAAGATGAGGAAACTGAAGTTTAGAAAGTTGAATCACTTGCCTCAGAATAGAACTTGACTCAGGGAGCCCAGATTCTGAGCCTGTCTTGTGATTCTCCATGTTATTCTGCTTGTAAGTCCTTGCCTGCTGGATTGGATTTAGTAAAAGTGTAGTCCCTTTAGTGCTGCACTGTCCAATATGATTGCCATTAGCCAAATATGGCTGTTTAAATTAAAATTAATTAAAATTAGATAAAAATAAAAATCCACATCTTCATTCATAGCAGTCTCGTTCAGACGACTCAACAGCCACATTTGGCTACTGGCTCCTCTGTTGTGTAGCATATATTGAATAATGCTATCATCCCAAGAAAGTTCTATTGGACAGTGCAGTTTTTGAGAAGAAAACAGATTAAAATGGAGCCTCCTGACTCCACACACATGCTTGACTATAAAAATAATAATAATAATTGGCTTCACATGGCAGATGGAAGGTAAACAATTGTCAGAAATATAATATTTACTGAGAGAAGACAGGCATGTAGAGATAATTTAGCATAGCTCATATCTCAGCACAACGACTTGAATGTACAAGTAGAATAAAACAAAGCTAGTAAGTATTTGAATTGACATTACTTTCCAAAAGAATCCTAAATTTTACCAGTAAAATTAAGTCTATTAATAAATATTGGTGCATTACAGCTAAGAGTTTAGCAAGCTTGATTTTTAAAAAGCCATAGTTGAATCACAGTGGCTATAGAATGAGTAATAGATTTAAAAAATCAAATTCAGTATTTACAATATTGTTGTATTGTATGTTTGCTTGTATTTTATTGTCAACTTACCATTCATGATATATTCAAGTATTACACAATGATCAAAACAAATTCTTTCTAAAATACAACCTTAAGACCTATTGCTTAAGCTTAGATTGTTTACATTTTTCAGCCAATTTAATGGTTCACTGACTATAGTTTTGCCTGAAGAAATTGTCTTAAACAATTTTTGGGAGTGACATAATATGAAGAACGGGTAAACAGATCTAGATTCCAGCACAAGGTTCACCTGATTAGCCACAAGACCTTTGGCCTGGTTTTCTTAGATGTAAAATTATAATAAAGATATCCGCCAGGTCAGCATTACAGGGCTGTGTATGAAACAGATTTTTTGAAAGGAAACTGAAAGCATTTTGCAAAATGTAAACTTCTATAGCATATGGGATATTACAATTATCATGCCTTTGGTAAACGTTGGAAGAGAACAACATGTAGCCTCATTTCTGAACTCTGACTGAGGGTTTTAGGTTCTGCCAAGCTTGAGGCTGCCTCCTCTGACTAAACTTGATGACATATTTACATACTTTAAAAAACTGCCATAGACGTCTGTCAGAATTAGCATGCACTCTTCATTCCCTCTAAAATACAGATTTGGTGACTGGGCGCGGTGGCTCATGCCTGTAATCCCAGCACTTTGGAAGGCCAAGGCAGGCGGATCACAAGGTCAGGAGATCGAGACCATCCTGGCTAACATGGTGAAACCCCGTCTCTACTGAAAATACAAAAAGTTAACAGGGCGTGGTGGCGGGTGCCTGTAGTCCCAGCTACTCGAGAGGTTGAGGCAGGAGAATGGCGTGAACCCGGGAGGTGGAACTTGCAGTGAGCCCAGATAGCACCACTGCACTCCAGCCTGGGCGACAGAGCGAGACTCTGTCTCAAAACAAAACAAAACAAAAAGATAGATAGATAGATAGATAGATAGATAGATAGATAGATAGATAAACAGACAGACAGACAGACAGACAGAGAGAGAGAGAGAGAGAGAGATTGATTTGGTTTATTCCCAAATAGTATTCTTACTGTTACAAGTCCTCTGCCATGAAATCAGAAAGTGCAACAATCCAGTGATTCTGGTCCCAGCATTGCTGTGCCTCCCTTGGTAACTGGGGGTAGATGCGGAGAATTCTGCAATTCTTTGCAGTTCAGGGTCTGAAAGCCAGATGAAGCTAACGTCCTGGGGTAAGGGTGGAGAGGTGAGTACTCTGACATATTTCCTGTTTTCCTCAGAGCAAAACAATGGACTCATGGTTCTATTATAACCATTCACTTTCTAGTACTACATCTGGGACTCTGAGGAGCAAAGATTTTCCTCCTTTTCTACACACCAAAGCGAACAAGCATGTTTCCTCAATCAATGAGCTTTAAGCAATGGGGTTTGTCGCCCTTAAACGGTTTTTTTTTTTTTTTTTCCTTAGGATATATAAGCTTCCTCTCTTATGGAAGGAAAAATACAGATTTTAGTGCATCTTAAGAAAAAGTAAGAATGATCACAAAGGTTTAAGATTCCAAGTAGGGAAGTTTCCTGAGAGATTCCATAATGCTAGGCTTCCCCTAATATTTTCTAAAGGATGCTCTAGGGATTAAATAGAATGTTCTTCAAAGAGTGAGGCATCTTTAAGATTCCTGAAGGGGTCATAAATTAAGGGAGTTGAATTATATGCCCTGAGCAGATCATCTTGCCAGTCATGACTGACAACATGTGAGCAGAGGAGAAAGGATGATTCTATTCCCTGAACACCCAACCCCACCACTTATTTTGGCTTATTTCTCCTCAGATTTCTCTCCTTATTATCTCTGATTCTTGGTGCAGCAGGAGGAGAAATTCTCATTTCCCCTTCATTCAGTTCTATAAATCCACTCATCAGCTCTCTAAAGAATCAGTTGTCTGAGCATAAGTCCCAGCAAAATTTGCTGAAATGGCCATTATAAATCTCTGATCCCTTAATTATAACATTTCCTCTTTTCAAATATATGTTTCTATGTACTGACATAAATAGATTATTGGAGTTCTCATTTTTCTAGTCAATACACAGTCTGACATGACAAGCAAACAATGCTCTTTAAAACACTGATGAGAGTATCATTTCCAGAAACTGTGGACCTGACCTAAAAATTGACTCTTTCCAAAGAACGTGCCACTCTTTTCACTGATTCTCTCTGACTCATGCAAGCTTCACTATAGATTAGTTTTGATCTAATCATTTTCCAAACAATTTATCCTGAAGCTAAGAGTATTCTTAGATTTTTTTTTTTTTGGGGGGGGGCTGCAAATATCACAATATGTTGAATAGATCTTCTAATGTAAACATTTGTAGTACTTTTGTTAAACATTCTGTTTAACAACAATCCCTGAACTAGCCTGGTTGAATCCACTCAAACATTACCAAGACCTTTCACAGGGTAGTTGAAGAATGCTTAGCAACTCTCATGTAAGAAAAAGAACTCAGAATGAATATGTCTCTTGTGTAGGTCAAGACAAATGTCAGGGCCAATGAAGGATGAAACATGATGATGGAGATTTGAAATGAAGGGCTGGGGCAACAGGTGCTTGGCATGAAACACTGAAAGACAGGAGAGAAGAGCTGTGAGGTAGCGAAGCTAGCACTCTTCCTGAGAGTAGACAAAGGCCAGTCTCGGGCTTCTCATCACCAGAGAAACAGATCTTATGCACAAAGTAGTTAGAAGACACACTGAAATTTGGAACACTTTTTTTTTGTCTAAACAGGTCACACCCAAAGCCCCAAGGAAACAATAGGAATCTATCCAAATACGCAGAAACAAATACAATAGTTTTCTCAATGTGGTGAAACAAGGGAAAACTATAAACAAAACAGATACAAGGAAAGAACACTAAGATTTCTAAACACCCCCAATGTGAAAGATGCTTTAATTGACAAGTTTCCTGCTTTCTTTCTTTAACGCTCATAACAACACTATGAGGTGGAATTTTCTTCACAATTTTCAAGATAAAAAATCTGAGTCTCAGAGAGACACCCAGACTGTAGGTGGTAGGCCAGGCATTTGCACAGAGAGCTTTTCTGATTTCACAATTGCACATCACTCTATGACATATACTGAGTCAATGACAAGTGACTTGTCCTTTTTGACATTAGGTTATGTATTTGACCATTACTGAATAATGCCAAAGAAGCTTGAGAGACTTAAATGTGAAAAGGTACTACGTTACTTTGATGTACTATTTTAATTAATAACTTATGCACATTTGAAGGCAGACATTCAAGTGTGATGTTCAGATATCACCTCTTTCACATTTTACATCATTTAGATGTTGTAGTTTCTGGATGGAGTATTTTATTTATTTATTTATTTATTTTGGGACAGGGTCCCTCTGTGCCACCCAAGCTGGAGTGCAGTGGCGTGATCATAGCTCACTACAGCCTCAAACTTTCAGGCTCAAGGGATCCTCCTGCTTCAGCTTCGTGAGCAACTGGGACCACAGGCATGCGCCATCAAGCCTTCTATTCTATTTTTCATCTACCAGA